CGCCCGGGCTTGGGACGCCTTCCCGAGGCGACCCAGACACCGTCGCTCAGTCTCTTCCCGGCCCTGCGACGGGGGGGAAGTTGGCCACGACGCACTCACCTCTTATCCTAGAAGCCCCGGGGCAGGAGAGCCACCACGCCGAGGTCTGGGGAGGCTTCTGTCCGGAGGGCCCGTGGGAGGCGGCGTGAGGGCGCCCGTCCCGCCTCTTCCTTCTCTGCCCGCATCCAGCCCTCGGCTTCTGGCCTCGCGGTTTCGTAGCCCGTCTCCTGGCCGGACCCCTTAGCCGGCCTTGGCCCAGAAAAGGGACTCAAGGCCTTTGGTAAACTCTGTAGCGCAAAACGGCACGGGGCGCGTGGAGCCTCGGAAGGGGCCTGGACAGCCCGACAGCCGCGGCGGGCACGCGCGGGCCCCCCGGCTCCCGGTGCGGACGGCGGCCTCGGCCCGCCTGCTCGTGCGCGGAGCCTGGCGGGTGCTGCTGCTTTCGGAGATTCTGGGACAGTCGGGCCCCCAGGTGTTACCTCCAACTGAGGTACAAACTGGGCCATATCAGGGCTTTTTCACGTTAACACCGGGTGGTTATTTCCTTCCGCAGACTTCTAAACCTACAATGTTCCCACCTGTGTCTAACCCTGTGGGAATTCCTGTTCTTAAATATTAGGTAGCTAAAGGAGAAAGAAATTCCAATCATGGAAGCTTGAAGTTAAGAAATAGTTGTGATTTGTTGGTAAGTCAACAGCAAATCACCTGATAAAACTAGTATCGAAGGCTTATCTTGAAACTTTAAAGACTATATGTTAATTGGCTTGTTTTCAGTTAAATCTGCTAAAATCTATTACAAGACTGAAATTTGAACCAAATACTCTTTAATGACCTAATACCAGTAGGTCGATAATATCAATAGTGCAGGTGTCTTTTAGCAACAACAAAATGCTGCTTTTGGTTTGACTTTGGCTCTTAATGGTTTGCTGCACACCTCTTCTTAGAGTTTGATCAGTATGCCAGAATTATAGAAATCACTGACTTCCTTTTGTCTATAAGTTTAGAGGACTTCTTGAACCAAAGGAGACAAGGTTATGAAGTGGATCCATAAGCCCTTCCAACATTTTTATCTAGAAAGCTTCGAGTAAACTGACCCCGGATAATACTATCAAATGGTCCCATTTTTGCAACAACCGATTTTTCCAGCTTCGTGGGGGTGGGGGTTGGAGGGCTCACCTATGTTAAAATAGACATAATCTACAAAACTATCTGAAGCACCATCTACAGAAAAACGAGAACTTTCTGTCCTTAATCGCTGCCCGTTGGGCAGCAGTGAGCGGTCCATTTCAGGGCTGTAAATGCTTAGTGTAGACTGCAAAGTGGCAGGCTTTGGTTCTTCCAATGTTTGCTTTCTTCAGTGCCCATCAAAGACCCAGGTGTTTGCTTTACCAGGCCCCATTGGAAAATGTTTTTAGAGCAATTACAGGCATGGTCATCATCAGTTCATCTTATTTCCTTCACCTGAAGGAGCATCGCAAAAAATGTGAAAGGAATCCTTTAAATAAAGACAAAGGGGAGGGGACACTACATTGACTATTGGGGAGTAAGTGCAGACACCTCAAGAGGAAAAGGTCTGAGCCTTACTCTCCCACCCCCTGAAGTCCTGCAATCCCGGGTCTTGTTTTGAATTAAAATGGGGCAGCCTCCTTTGATGGCCAGCAGGGTCCCTGTTATTTAAGATGGGGAATCCTCCAGGCAGCATTGGGGGAGGGGTGGTGCTAAGGGTTGGGGAGACCCCGAGCTGCGGGTAAGGGTTGTAGGAAAATGCCTCCTCAGTATCTGAGCAACATTTATGGCTTCTCCAGAGTCCATAAGCAAAATCAAGATTTTATTTCCTCTTAAATAACCTCTGCTGAGTACTGGAGTCGATATTGTCAATCCTTAAATAAAAACGTGTCCCCTGTACCGTCTAAGATGGGCGTTTCTGTCTGGACTTGGAAGAGGGACTTCGAATAGGGTAGGGTAGATGCCCTTGAACCCAGTGATTAGGGCATCACGTCACGAATTTCCTAGAGCTGATGTGGATATTGTAAACACCATCCAAAGTGGGGGCGGCGTCTGTTCCGTGTGTCCCACTCTCTGTAGGCTTATATCCTGCCTCTTAACCCAGTGCCCCTCTACTTAAAGGGGGGAAAGAGCCTAAGATGGTGCATAGACGTGAGGCCATAAACAGCAGTGATCCATTTCGCAGCCTGGGTTGTCGAAATCAATCACTGTGATGCCTTCTTTTTCCATCTAGAACTCCCCAGTCCCCAGCAAAATCCTCTCTGTCTTTTCTGGAGAAGGAAACTGGGCGTGTGCAGCCAGTCGGGCCGGGACCATGGCGAAGTCTTGCACAACTCCCTGCCACCAGGCGTGGAAGATGTTTAGAAATGACCTGGCTGCAGCGTTCGTGTGTAGGGATGAGTGGGGTGTGGGGACGCTAACCCTAAACTAGGAGGGCTGCTGGGGCAGGACTCACCCCACAGGCTGTGCAGGACCAAGCAAATGCGGGACCCGCACCACACCTTTTGCTGTGGCCAACACACAGGTCCAGTCCAGTTTGGTTCCCAGGGAAACTCTGCGGGCTGATTCAACTTGACCCAAACGTGTGATTCATCTCATTTCCCGGGGAGACTGGGGCCGGGACTCCCTTCATTTTGGAGGCACTGGCAAGTGTGGGGATCTGTGGGCAACAGCTTGTGTGTGTAGGTGTTGGAGCACACATTCGATTTCCAAACATCTTTTGAAGTTGTCTTCTCATTTGTAATTTACAAACCCACTAAATTACAAGGAGCTTGGTGGCAGTTATCAGATCCCTAAATGTACTGGCAGTTTCCAAAATTAGCTGCTTTACTCTCACAACGCTTTGCTAGCCTGGGTGAACTCCCCATGCAACCCCCCTTCTAGGAGACACCAAGTCAAGAGATATGAGTTACATATAGCATTCGCGTGGCGTCGTTTTTTTGAAATAAAGTCACAGGGAAGCACACAAAAACATTCTGATATACTTGGCAACCTCTTTCAAGGAAGCAAGTATCTCTCACGTCCCCACGGGAATGACTTGCCCTCGTGTCCTCAGAGTGGCTTCTGCCATCCCTCCTTCTTAAGAAAAAAACAACTTAGTGAAAGCCCTGCACCCAAGTTTTGGTTGGGATTCAATATTCTAAGCAAAATATGCTCAACAGATGATAGCAGGGATGCAGCCAGAAAACAACTCCAGCTATTTAAACTGCCAAATGAGACATAAAGCTGCATTGTAAAAATCATCTGGAAAACAGGTTTTCCCATTGAAGTCGCTACGTGTTAATTACTGTGAGCTGGAAGGCTGGAGATCGGAGGCCTGGAAGCCGACTTTCACCCCGCATAGTAAACGGGGAAGTGCTGAACCGCAGCCAGGGGCCCTGCTCGGACTCATTGCCATGCATGCCTAGACATTAATATGTGTTCATGGAGGGCTCGTACAGTACGAGGTGTTATTTCCTTATAAAGAAACACCAGGTCTCGCTTTCCATTCTTCTTACAAAATTATTCACATTATTTATGCTACATTGAGCGATCTAATTTCTTCGTGATAGTCAGCTAATTGCTCTGGCAGGTAATTAGAAGCGGTTTACAACGCAAAGGGCTTTTGCATTGCCCCTCGGATTATTAAATTGCGCTGTAAATTATACCATCTTTGCTGGGGGAAAATTCTTTTGAGCAAGTTCTCTTCCTGCGATCCGAGGTGAAATCGGCTCCCCACCCTCCCCCCCACAGACGTACCCCTCCCTAGCCACCCCCACTGCCTCCACACCCCCCGCTTTTTCCTGGACTCAGAGTCGAATGATTCTAAAGCACGCGATTTTGTTCGTGTTCACTGGGCCGAAATAACGTGGCCATTATGGCCTGAAATGGGCCAGGTTTGCAGCGAGCTTCCTGCGCGCCTGCAATATCCAGCAGGCATGTGGGAAAAGAACGGCTTAAATGGGGACATCTGTTCAGTGCTGCTCATCTTACTCTTACAGCCAGGTCAGGTTAAGAGAATAACCTGTTCGCCACCTTTTCTCGTGTTAATAAGACTATTAGAGGAAAAACGCGAGCACACACAAACAGCACTAACTGAGCTGCCGTCTCAGCAAAGAATGAGGCACACAAAGGTAGCAGCTGAGTGACAAGAGGAACTGTAAAAAACACCCATTGGGCTATTTCAGGGGAAATCTACATAACTTCTGTCAGAAACAAAAAAGGAATACGCGCGCTCAGAAATGCTCTCTACAGAAATGGGTTTGTATAAGGGATTTTAAGAACTCAACAAAGAGTGGTTTATTTTCAGGTTTTTATTTTCATAAAATTGACCTAAAGGTAAATTCCAGTGGCAGTTTTTCTTTCTTTCTTTAGCTTTCAAGTATTCGTAGGCCCAACACTTTTCGTTGTTGGTGTTATTTTGATCTGGGGTACCTCTCAGGGTCCCTTGAAAAACCCCCAGTGGGCGCATCTTAATTTGTTCCCTGATTTTAGAAAAGCGAACTGTACCCCCTTTCAAAACTATCACCACCCCCCAAATATATATATATATATATATATATATATATATATATATATACCCGTTTGTAAGCCTTGTACAATGACGTGAACACATGTGTGGTTAAAGCCAGAGACCCGGTGCAGCGCCTAGATTATTTGTAATTAAACACAATTCCCAAAGTAACATTTATCTTCCCGAAACTGCGATTGCAATTGTCAACCGTCTGGAGGAGACGACGGGGTAATCTGGGAGCATTACCTCCTCTAGTAACAGAATGGAATGAAAAGAAATCAATAGCGCTGAGGTTAAGAATTTAGTAGTTTTTAACTCTGCATGTTAGCTGTGAGAAAGTGATATATAACAACAGAAGAGAAAACAGCCTAAACAAATCCATTCTAGGAAAACAGTGAGAGGAACTGGTCCGAATGCCTCAGCCTCTGATTCTCTCTTGCTTTGCAAAACAAGAATACACACACACACACACACACACACACACACACACACACCACACACACCACACACACCATTCACCCCAAAGGGGCAAACTCTCTTTTCCTCACACGTTTTCTTCATTTGCACGATGAAGGGGGACCATGAAGTGCTGTGGAATTCATTATCAATTTCATCTGTAGGCTGGCAGAGATGAATATGAAATATACCATAGAGTACACGCCTGCCTGTAGAACCAGCACTCAGTCATATCAACATACTCTGAGGACATGAAATTATGCATGTAGAGAACAAGTAAGGAAATATATTTTTTTCTTCCTTTACTAGAGAGAGATACCAGTTTAGATACCATTTTCCCTACCGATGCCTATGAATGTACCTACATATTCATAGGATTGATGCGTGGAGAAAGTCCTCCTTGTCTTCTGAATTTGAATGCCCCGGTGAATCAAAGCACAAAACAGGGGATATCCTAAGTTAGATGAGAAAGTCTCTTAGTTAAAGCCATCTCTAACTTTGGGATTTTTTGAAGTGGCAGAGAATAAAAAATATTAAGCAGTGGGATGTGGAAGAAAAATATAGAGCCAATTAAGAAAAAAAGGAGGGATGTTTTTTTCCAGTGGTCCCAAGTACTCAAAAAGAGTCCCCAAGGCAAGGCTTTGCACCCACTCGGAGAGCCTGTGGGACAGATCAAGTCACTATGGCTTTGCTGTGGTCAACAAATGCATCCAATTAAGCAGGACCAGGGA